TATTAGATACTCCATTTTCTGGGGATTGAAGGCCCAAAGACCACAGATCCCAGCAAATATATACGCTATATCTACAACCGTGTGCATCTTGAGAATGCCACTGTTCGGGCTGCTGCTGTGAGCACTCTGGCAAAATTCGGTGCTATGGTTGACGCATTGAAGGTATTGCTGGCATGATCTTTGCATACTTGTGTCCTCTGGTATCTGGTATGACTAGTCGGCAGACTGCTTACTCACATGAGTTGGTTGATTTTCTGTTGCTTTGTGTTGCAGCCACGTGTTTTTGTCCTCTTGAGGCGCTGTATCTTTGACAGTGATGATGAGGTGAGTTTCTTTGAAGTAATGCACTTTGTGAAGTTTTATCTCACTTGGTATGATACTGTTTTTTACATGATATTCTTCTCTTGGAGTCTAATTCCTCGAATGTGTTTGTGTGCCCCTGCATGAGCATCCTGTTATTGAAAGAGCATTGTTTGTTAAATTATGCACAATCCAACCTCCTAAAAACTTGTTTATATATATATTGTTTGAAGAATCTCTGCTATTTGGTCTGCAGGTTCGTGATAGAGCGACACTTTATCTCAACACACTTGGAGGTGACGGTGAAGTAGTTGAAACCAATAAAGATGCAAAGACTTTTCTCTTTGGTGCCCTGGATATCCCTCTTGTGAATCTGGAGACAAGTTTGAAAAATTATGTAAGTGTACTCCTCTATCTTATGCAATTTGCACTGCTGTTGAAATCATCTCATGGAATTTCTGTTGATGCAGGAGCCTTCTGAAGCGCCATTTGATATTGATTCTGTTCCAAAAGAAGTGAAGTCTCAACCACTTGCTGAGAAGAAAGCCCCAGGCAAAAAGCCAACTGGTCTTGGTGCTCCTGCAGCTGGTCCTCCATCTACTGTTGATGCTTATGAAAGGCTTCTTTCCTCTATTCCAGAGTTTTCGGACTTTGGGAAGCTCTTCAAGGTTCTATATCCACATTCTTTCTTACCATATTTGCCACATGGCACAATGTTCTTGAATTGCTCAGTTAGGAATGATTAAATGCGAGCTCTCCTTATCTCTCCTCTTTCCTCTTTTTTCTACAGTCCTCAGCGCCTGTGGAGCTTACAGAAGCAGAAACAGAATATGCAGTTAACGTTGTTAAGCACATATTTGATAGACATGTTGTGTTCCAGTACAACTGCACCAACACAATTCCTGAACAATTACTGGAAAATGTAATGACTTGTTTTGAGAGCAGTATTCAATTTTTTGTCCTATTTGGTGCTATCTTATCAAATCATTCTGTCTGCTTCAGGTCTCTGTCATCGTGGATGCTTCAGAAGCGGATGACTTCACAGAAGTAGCATCCAAGCCTTTACGATCTCTCCCTTATGATACACCTGGACAAACTTTTATGGCATTTGAGAAGCCTGAGGGGATTACAGCAGTTGGAAAGTTTTCAAACGTATTGAGATTCATTGTTAAAGAGGTGCATTTTCCTGCCATATTCTCGTGATGATGCATGCATTTTGTTTTCTTAGTTTGCTGTGCGTGGAACTTTGTGTGGAATTTAACTTGTTTAATTTGTTATTTTGGTCTTCCAAGCTGGCTTGAATTGTTTGCATGCACAGAATGGAGTCATTTCATATAGATTTTTGGTTTAGTTTATTTAAGATATAAGAGTCTTTCTTGGAATATCATGTACACTACCAACGATTTAATCCTTGGTATAATTGTTAACTTTTTTGTATTGGGTGTTTTGTATCAGGTTGATCCAACTACAGGTGAGGTGGAGGAGGATGGCGTTGAAGATGAATACCAATTGGAGGACCTTGAGGTTGTTGCAGCAGATTACATGATGAAGGTTGGAGTCGCAAATTTCAGGAATGCTTGGGAAAGCATGGGAGACGATTTTGAGCGTGTGGATGAATATGGCCTTGGCCCAAGGGAGAGCTTGGCTGAAGCTGTTAGTGCTGTCATCAACCTTCTAGGCATGCAGCCTTGCGAGGTTAGTCTGTCATATGTGATTATGCAGTGAAGTTAATTACTGAAACATTTGACTATCTAAAGAAGAATGGAGAATGGACCAGAACCACTTGATTTGTTTGGGTGAATTAAGAAATGGGACCATGGCTGGAGAGCCGAAAGTTATGTTTTACTGGCGTGTCAATGCCAGGATCCTGAAATCATTTAATAAAATTATCTGATTTTTAAAAATTGCTGATCAGCTTTCTCAAGTCATCACATTTGTAGCCTATGCATGACTGCAATATGCAAGATGAAGACTGAGCTGCGTAGGACTGCATAAAGCTAACTAAGGCCTTCAGTTTGAATTATTTTTATCATTTAGTTTTCATTTTGGATTTCCTTACTATGATATCATCATTTGATATTTGAAGTCATATGATTATTTGAAATATGTTCCTATAATCAATCTGTAAGCTGATTTATTTATTTGTCTTCATTGGTGTTCAGGGAACAGAGGTTGTTGCAACCAATTCAAGGTCACACACATGTCTACTCTCTGGTGTTTTCCTAGGCAATGTGAGGGTTCTTGCTCGGTTGCAGTTTGGAATTGATGGTTCAAGGGGTGTTGCAATGAAACTGGCAGTTAGATCTGAGGATGAAGCTGTCAGTGATGCCATTCACGAGATTGTTTCATGCGGCTGAATTGTCAGTCTTTGTTCCTCTTTCTACTTCGGCTATTTGTTTTTGTTTCAGGGATGAGGCCAGGGGCAGATTGCTGTAATCAATTAAAGCTTGTTATACAAAGAGTTGCAAGTCCATGGAAATGAAGTTAGGCTTGCAGGAAGACTGTATTTGCATTTAACTTGAGCTTGAGCTTCTCTCTCATCATCTTTCTAAGCTAGCAATATCACTTTTGTATCATGCAAATCAGGTTCAATAGGAAGATTTTTTCTTTTCTTCTTTTTTTCCCTGAAAATTCTTATGTGGGATTTAGTATATAAGGTTTCTTCAAGCATCAATCTTGCTTGATATACTTTTGGCCTTAATGTGGGACATGAATTTTGGGGATTGATTGTCCTCGAATGTTTTGGCATCACAGTATTATGGATTTGTAAGAATTAATGATTGTAGCAAAAAAAAAAAAAAAATCTGTGCCGATTTCATTACTATTTTTTCCATGTCGTTTAATCAGGGTTATTAGGCAGGAAATTTCGTACTAGTCAATAAAATGGTACGTTAAGCCTTTAATTCCTTGTCGTCTCAAATCTCTAAGACAAGTACTGGCTGAAATGTCTCTGCTATACAAAGTTCTGTTTTGGTAGAAAACAAGTTCAACTGGGTAAGGGAAAGTCCGTAGTTCTAGTTGTTGTTATTCAATGAACAACAAGAAAATGGTTTTAAAATCGAAGAAATCGGAAGAGTAACAACATTTATCGCGTATGTTGAAGGCGGTATTATCCGGATGCTTGAAAAGCAAAAGTTAATGCTAGTACACAACCATTTAACAAAACGGCGCTGATTTTTTCCTTAAAAAAGTGCACATGTTTAAAAGCGGCTCTATATTGACTTTAGAAGTACGGTTGGGTAACAACGAAAGGAATGGTAGGAAAACAAAAAAAATATATTTTTTTATTTTAATTAAAAAATAAATAAATAATGAAAATAAAAGATGAAAACGAGAATAAAATCGAACATAATTTCATTTCTACGAGGAGATGTAGAAATAAAAACCAAAAATCAAAATATAATTTTTTAAATAATAATATATAATTTTTATTTATTATATATTAATTATTTTTATTATTATCATTATATCAACTGTTATTACTACAACAACAACCACTGCTCCACTAATGGGGTGAAAAAACAATTTTTTTAAAAATCTATTATTATTATTATTCTATCGTTATTTTTTTTCTATTTTAATTATATCATTATTATTATTTTTTTATTATATAATCATCATTATTATTGATAGAGATGATAAAAAATTCAAAAAAATATTAGTTTTATTATTTTACCATCGTCTTCGTCGTCGTCGTCGTCGTAAGAGATGTTTACATAGTAATTTTCTTTTTGGAACGTTTTGATTCTTTTAACAAATTTACGTTACATGTAAAATAAAAATTCGAAATCCAAATGACCAAATGGTCCGTATCAAAACATTAATCTATTTTCAATTAGAAATCTAAGTGGTCGGCCGGAACGGTACTGACAATATAGATTTTGATAGGGAAGGTAGAGACGTTGTCTCTTTCTCTCTCTTTTTTGGTTGTATTGCTAACCAGAGCATTGTGGATTGGGGAACGTCAGCGGCCATGACTTAGTACTCGATACGCCAAGTTGACAACCCAAAAAACTGTCGAGCAACTTCAAGGATCAGAGAAACAAATGGAGAGAGAGGAAAAAATTTAATCAGTCGCCAGGTTATAACTGGTTGTCTAGTAAACAGAAATAACAGGAAGTTGTTATCCCAATACTATAGATTGTTTCTGTATGGTGCATATATGTTACAGTTTTTGGCATGGGGAGGCACAAAGTTAGTTAAGTAGTAGTTTTCTGACAAAGTGTCAATAAGAACTTCATTACCTTCGAATAGAATAACTGCCACTAAAATTAGGCTCTGTTGTTGTATAAAGTAAATATAGGCGAATGACAGAAAATCCCTCCTAACTGGGAGGTGATTTTGCGTACGACAGTACTCCGTTTTTCCTTTCTTCTATAAAAATATTGCCATGCAACCACACCCCCTTTCCATCTTTTGAGAATTCTCCCAATCCTTCTTCCCTAGGTATTTTAATTACTTTCCTCTTTTTCTAAGAGTAAATTAATTAGGAACATATACGTAGTTTATGAATTATGATCATCGAAACTTACCTACTAATTCTTCATCTTCATGCATTATTAATCTTAATTAATTCTCCTATAAGATTGCAATTAGTTCTTTCTAATTAAGTGTTAGAATTTGTTCTTCAAAAATTCATTTCGTTGAATATTCACTTTCTTAATGCATCTTTCTCGTTAAATATGATCAGGTCTATATGATCATTTGGAGGAGGGTGGGGTTCGTCCGGTAAGCTTTGAGGATAATATCTTTTGGAAATAAACTCCTCCTATGTCTTCCCCCGCCCCTGAAGAATCTCCACTCTCTCCACCACCGCCATCTGCATCACCTCCGTCATTAGAAGAGCCATCACAACCACCACCATTGGAGTCGTCGCCGCCACCAGTGACTTCCCCACCGCCACCTCCATCCTCATCCCCACCCCCGTCCCCAGCAGATGTCTCTGCACCACCACCATCAACAAAGTCCTCGCCACCTTCTGCTCCAATCTCATCTCCACCACCACCATCTAAAGATTCAGATTCTTCACCACCTCCGCCTTCCTCTTCTAATGGAAACAATTCACCACCTCCCCCTCCCACAGCAAATGATAATGGTGGTAATTCTTGGTCGCCTCCACCACCTTCATCATCATCATCCAAGTCTCGCAATTCGCCACCTCCACCACGATCACTAGGGCCATCAAGGGGTTCATCATCAAACAATAGCCCTACACCAACTTCAGGGAATGGGGATGGAACTAACCTTGTACCTATTATAGTAGGAACCGTGGTTGGAGTAGGGGTGTTACTGCTGCTTGCCCTGCTTGTATTTTTATGTGCATGCAGAAAGAAGAAGAGGTCGCCACATTCTGACTACTACAACGACCACTCTGTTGCACCCAAAGGTACATATCACCCTCTATACTCCCATTTGTGATTTGAGAAGTTATTTATAAATGTTTGGTTTGAAATGCATGATTCATTTATCCCCTCATCAAACCAACATACACTCAGTAATTAAATAAATGCCGTAAAAAATTGATATGATAAAGGCAATTGCATAAAATGCTATTACAATATGTACTTGAAATGCCATTTCCTTCAAAGTGTCCTCATAGGTCTCAAAATTTGTCACTAAAATTCAATTCTGATGCAGTGGCCGTAACCCTGCCCATTTGATTTTGTATGATATATTCAGCTGCTGGACACAGATTACTGACCAGCACCAGATTGAATTTTGTCTACGTATTGAATGATATAATTATTAATTTGCAGCCGCAGGTGGTCCTTATTACAACGGAGCACCCCCTCAATATCCCGTCAGTAATTGGCACAACGAGAGCAAACTCGGAGAGCAAGTTGTAAACCTTCCTCCACCTCCAGGTGGAGGACAATTAGGAGCTTGGTCAACGCCGCCACCACCACCATATGATGTTGCAAATATGCCTAGTGGTGAAATGAGTTCCAATTACTCCGGCTCACACAGTACGGCGTTGCCACCCCCACACCCATCCTTGGCTCTTGGGTTCACCAAGAGCAGCTTCAGCTATGAAGAGTTAGCAGCAGCAACTGGGGGATTTTCTCAAGCAAAACTAATAGGCCAGGGAGGTTTTGGTTATGTGCATAAAGGGGTGTTTCCTAATGGCAAGGAAATTGCAGTTAAGAGCCTCAAAGATGGTAGTGGACAAGGAGATCGTGAATTTCAGGCCGAGGTTGAAATTATTAGCCGCGTTCATCATCGCCACCTTGTGGCCCTTGTCGGTTATTGCATTGCAGGAGATAAAAGGTTGTTGGTTTATGAGTTCGTCCCCAATTCCACTCTTGAATTTCACCTTCATGGTATGCTCCAGAAGTCCTGAATTCTCCATTTTCCTTGATACATTCCCTTCATTCGTCTCATTCTTTAGTCCTGATTATTTGATATCGTTGTCAAATTTGTAGGTAAAGGTTGTCCAACCATGGACTGGCCTACTAGGCTCAAAATTGCCCTGGGATCAGCCAAAGGACTTGCATACTTGCATGAAGACTGTAAGTGAATAACAACTTCTCAATCTGCCTCTCTCTCTCTCTCTCTCTCTCTCTTTCTGCCTCTCTGTCTCTTCGGGTAATCTGTTTGATACATGCAGGCCACCCACGCATTATCCACAGAGACATTAAAGCAGCAAATATTCTGCTTGACTACAGTTTCGACGCTAAGGTATTCAGGCAACAGATTACATCTTACATCCATTTTTTTTGGATATAGTTGTTTCAGCTGATGAATTATGTTCACTAACCATTACGTATATATCAGGTGGCAGATTTTGGATTGGCTAAGTTATCTTCAGACAACTATACTCATGTATCGACTCGTGTCATGGGAACATTTGGGTAAGAAATTTGAGTTCCATTTCAGTGAATATGATCTGATGTAGCACCAAATTAGAATAGAATTTGGCAGCCATATGTTGATCTATAATTACCATTGATCCATACATGTAGGTACTTGGCTCCAGAATATGCTTCGAGTGGCAAGCTTACCGAGAAATCTGATGTGTTCTCCTTCGGTGTCATGCTATTGGAACTAATAACTGGACGTCGCCCGGTGGATCTCTCTGGGGACATGGATGACAGCTTGGTAGACTGGGTTCGGATCCTCAATTTTGCTGCCTCTACCTGCGTTTAATCAAACTTCTGAAACATAAGTAAATGCTTATATTGAATTATTGGTTTATGCATCAACAGGCTAGACCTTTGTGTGCAAAAGCGCTAGAAGATGGAAACTATGATGAGTTGGTTGATCCAGCTTTGGAGGGCAATTACGATCCTCATGAGGTGGCATGCATGGTAGCATGTGCTGGTGCATCAGTCAGTCATTCAGCAAGGAAGCGGCCGAAAATGAGCCAGGTACGATACTTTTAACTGTCATGGTGATCTCTGTTTCTGTTTAACAAAAATTCTCTGTTTCTGTTTAACAAAAATCCAATGCCTTGATTAAGCAACCACTATGCATTTTCAAGAAATTTTAGTCCATAATTTTTTCATCGATATAATATCTTCGAAGAAACCGAATTTCCATGGTTTGTTCTTCTTAATGAACATCTGATAGCTAGCCACTCCTGGAATCTGCTCAAGACCAACCTAAGATTTTACTAACTTCAGGTAGGTTATTTTCCTTCACGGAACTCCGGATCTTCTAACAAACAGCTAGGAACGGACAGGAAAAAAAGATCTAAAGATTGTGAATAAACTGATCATATACAATAACACATCATCACTGTAGTTAATGGGAATTGTACAGAATCTCAGGAGACGCTAACACTTGGAAGTATACATGAAACAGATTGTACGAGCACTTGAAGGTGAAGTCTCCTTGGACGAAGGGATGAAACCTGGCCGAGGTTTTATCTTCAGCTCTGCTTCCAGTTCTGATTATGACCAATGCTCATACAGTACAGATATGCGGAAGTTTAGGAGGACGGCAATAGACAGCAACGACTATGCAAGCAGCGAATTTGGTCACACGAGTGAGTATGGGCTGAATCCTTCCTCTTCGAGCAGTGAAGAGATGACCAAGGGTCGGAATGGGAGTCAGAGACGTAGTCCTTGAGAATTTTCAAAGGTTCAAGACCTTCGGAACTCATTTCTATTTGAGTTTCTACATTATTAAGAGCAGGATTATCTAAATCAGTGTATGATATATTTCCAGCAATTTTACGAGCGATAGACATTTATTTAGGTGTGACTGACATCTTCCAGAAATGACTCTAATTGTTTAGGTGTAGCCGGCGCTAATAGTGTATTAATATTAGAAAAACAAAAAATTAACAATAATGATGATGGTGATGGGCGATGGCATAATATAAACCATTAAATTCTTGCTTGTATTTTCTACTCATATTCTACCATGGAGTTCTCGTTTTGGACTCGAGTTAAAATTTGTGTTAGAGCTGGTGTCAGGTAGCTAAGTACGAAAGACTCCAGCAAATAAATTTATACGACTGCTCATTTATAAGAGGCATCCAATCCATACGGATAAGTAACTCTGAACCGGCAAATTTAAAGACCTATATTGGAAGAAATACCAGTAAACATGCAGCCCAACATAAAAAACTCTTCCAAGAGTTTAAACTCTAGTAGCTAGTAATGGCAATCCGGGCAGGCAGGAGTGGTCCTTCGCACTGATCCCTCCCCCAGGCATCGAAATTATGTAGGCAAATTAACACTAGCAAGAGACGTAAGATAATGAAACGATTTCATGGATTGAACTCGACTACAAAGAAACAGCATGCTATCACATCCTTTAGTTATCAAGAATGGGATTGCTTAAAGAAAACAAAGATTTTTCATTAAATAAAGGTACAGGATACAACAATTGATAAGTACAAACTAAATAGGCAACTATGATACCGGTGCCAGATATAACATGAACAGCCACTTCCACCAATTAAGATCAAATCTCATGCAATTTTTCCATTTTCTCAACAATTTTCACATGAGAATTACAGGCGACAGCACATTGACATGGTTTTCAAACCACACTAACTTGACGAGAATGCAAAGGAATCTCCCAACAGCACAGTGCATCTGAAAAGGCATTCAGAAGCATGAACCTGGGAGGAAACGAGACAGATGATTAAAGCCTTTTGCTTGAATCAGATTACCCTCCTATGCCCTCCAAAAGCCCAAATCTGGAGAGAGAGAGAGATTTCATCAGCTTGCCAAATCTGTAATTAATTCTATATAACAGAATATCAGAGTGAAACCGGATAAATTTATGTCCAATGGATTTCACCGAGCATCACACCTCCAACATGCACAATGCCAGATTATTGGTAGTATTTTGACATAAGGAATCATCAATACAGGGTGAATGGGATCCTATATACAAGTCAGTCAAGAATTTAATAAGAAGCGCTTTTGTTGTTGCTTAGGTTAGGCAGGACTTCTTGAACCCAATAACAAATAATAACATATCTTCATTACCTAGAATAGAACCACTTGGAACAACAAAACAGATTATATATGTTGAGAAGGACAAAACTGGGTGAAAAAGATTTACAATCAATGCATGTAATGATCAACAGGATCTTTTCTTCGTGGATTCAATATGGAACTTTTTCCTAGATGGTTTTCAAGCAAATTAGACAATATGAAAAGAAATAACAAGGCCATGCTTATATGGAAATTAACCTTTAGGTTTGTATCCCAACTTCCTGTACATAAGGCACTTCCATCAGCTGACAAACCCAAACAACTGATCCGGCTCTCATGCGAGTTCTGCAAAGATCCCAAGTTCAAAACAACCTGCCATGAAACACAAAAGTAACTAGGGTCAAAGAGTGCAATAACATGGCCCACCTCAAATCTTCCACAACTTGTAACTGCTCAGCACAAGAGGCCAGTGCACTCTTCATGTAAGTTTGTTTTCAATTTTCTTATCTATCTTAAGCATTGCAAGGCTTTAGAACTGTGTCTGAGTAAGGCACTTGCAAATAGGTATCTAAAGTAAACCTATGGAACCTCAAAACTCAGCAGTAATAATGCACAACCAGATCACAATGGCAGTGCAACATTCAGATTAAGAAACAAAGGCCAAAGTTAGGATTAGCAAATGCCCCGCCAAGTTCAAATTCCCATTGATATTACTGATTAACTTGAACGATGCATGCAAATCCAATTCCTCCAAAGATGTTTTGATCATACCATAATTAACTCAATCCAAAGTGCAAAAGGGTACCTCTGCCAATAAAGTGTCCCACACATAAAAATCACCATTTGAGTATCCCGCAAAGAGAAGTCTTCCTGATATTGAAAACGCAATGGAGGTTACATGTGGGATCTCATTATCACCTTGGTGTTGATAGTAAACTTGGAGCTGGTGCCCAGTCCTGATATCAAATAACCTGCAAGTACCATCATCCGAACCAGTTCCAAATCTATAACCATCTGGAAAGAACTTTACAGCATTAACATCTCCTTCATGCCCATGAAATGTGCGCACTGCTCGACTTGCAACACGGGTGTCCCACAACCGGGCAGTTGAATCACAGGAACCAGATACGAACATTCTTGAGTTTGATCCATTAATCGAGACACTGATACAAAATGATATCACCAAGGTCAAAATTCAAAAGTGCTAATTGCTCCCTAACAAAGGAAAAAATCATTAAAATTGAATGTTATAATGTAATGCTATAGTAACTTAAAGGAGGAAAAGAAAACATCTATTGTGTAAGGTTTTATAGTCACAGGATGCCCCGCATATAACTGCCAAATTAGAGTAAAAGTAGGGTTGTAAAAGAAGAAACTTCAAAAAGAGTAGCCAAAGGATAACTAGGTAGATAGTCCCGTTGAATTTGAAGTCAAAAGATAGGCAGATATGCAGTTTGCCAACCTATAGTAGGAATTTTTCTTGCAATAACAAGGTTAGCTTGCTGACAAATTTGAGAATGCCTTACTTACCTTAGCACATCAGCAGTATGACCAGACTGAAATTCTCCTCCGAACACAGAAGTTCGAAGGCCTGTTGTAATATCCCACAAAACACAAGTCTGGTCACCAGAACTTGTTATTAGGTGAGTATCCTCATCTGGAACATACTGACAGGACGAAACATAACCCTTATGCCCACTAAGCATTCTTGATACAGGTAGATTTCCATCCTTATCAGTCGGTGAATTCAGGTTAAAAATTGAGCAAACACTATCAAGACCGCCGCAAGCAACAGATTGTCCAGCAGGAGAGAAAGCACATGTCATCACCCACGCACAAGGTAGCTTTATGGCATGAGTTTTCTGACTTGTTAGAGCATTCCATACTATTAATCGCCCATCTTGAGAAGCACTTACTATTCTATTCCTTTCGGGGGTCCAGTCCAATGAATACACCTGCAAATGTGATAGGTATTAAAACTCTATGTAAAACCCATCATCTAGAACTAGTGCCAAATTACAATTTACAAGTGATCAATACGACATGATTACCCTTTAGTCTGCAGATCTTAGGCATGATCTTCACATTTCACTGCTTCAAAATACCTAAGGTAAGAGACTTCATAATTTCACTCACACTCTGTTTGTTAAGAAGGATGAAAAGGGTAAAAGGGATGAAGTGAGAGTAGAAAGGATGGATATTAACCCATCTATCTAGTTGTTTGGATAACAAAAGAGGGAAGAACGAAATCAATCTACCCAAATTGGACGGATTGCAAATTACATGTTAGGAAGGATGTGCAGGATCCTTCCCTTCCTCCCTTGGGTCTCCATCCACCCAACTAAATGCAGAAAGCATCTCATCCATCCTCCTCAATCCACCTCCTCATTTTCTTTACTAACAAACAGAGTATCAAATACAATGTTGATGTTCTAATTCTCAACATTATCGTGGAAACAATTAATAGCAACTAACATTTCTATTTCTGTTCTAATTTCCTTCTATTCAAAGGGCCTCTCTAACAAACCAAACTATTTGTTTCTTAAGTACTCCATCCACAATAAGCATTGCCTTTTCTCATTTAACAATAATTCGTCCTGATGAATATTTCTTGCTCTTTCAGAAACATACCACAGAAAATAAAGAGCGAAAGAGTTAGAAGTAATAAGAAGTCAGCAGCCAATCTTCAATCGACTTCATTTTTGGAAGCCAAGCAAAAAAGGGGGACCCTTTATTTTCCATAACATTCATACACCTAATTTAGTGGCAGATAACAAATTCTGCATAAACCATGTCGCGTTTGCCAAAAATAAATAAGTGAAGTAAAAAAACTCAGCTTGGTTAATCAGAAACCAAAAACATAACAAAAAAATTATTCTAGTAATAACAACTACTTACGTGGCTTTATTTGCCAATTAAAACAAAACCCACAACTCTATTTATTGTTTCCAACTTATATTTACAATCAACAATGAGCTGCAATAAAAAAAAATAATAGTGGTGATTACCTTGCCAGTGTGTCCTTGAAGAGTCCTGCAACAAACCAGATCGGTGGGCCCAAAACTCACCGGACTCCTCCCTTGCGCCCTCGCGTATCTCACAACTGCAGACCATAACAACTTCAATTAGATCCAATTCCGAAGCTAAATACTCTTTTCTTTTTATCTCTTTTTAATCAAAGACAAAAAAAAGGGAAAAAAAGAAAGAAAATTGAAATAGTAATTACTATCTGTATCAAGCAAAAGAAGGCGTTTCTGCTTCAGTCGTTCTCTCAAAGAATTGACCGTCTCAGTAGCCGCCACGTGGCGTTCCTTTAGCTCCGAAACAGACATTACTATCGCCAAATTCTCTAAAAAGAAAAGGAAAAACTGAACTAAAAAGCACTGCCCATCAAAGTTTAAGCTTTTGTTAGTATGCCCTAGTAGTGATCATGAATCATGATTCGAGAAAGAGAGAGAATTTTTAAAGATTCAATGATTTAAGATAGAGAAAATTGAAAAAATGAGATGATTTGTTTTGTTTGGTTTTGTTTTAGAAGAGGTGGAGGTGGTGATGGACTGAGCCTGCAATCCATGTTTTTTTGCTGCAGAGGTAACACAGAGCCACAGAGAGAGAGAGAGAGAGAGAGGTAAAAGACTAAAAGGTTAAAGTAAAGGCTGAATTTAACTGTAGCCGCCGGGGTCGGCCTTTTTCATAGTATTATCTTACGTGTCGCGCTATTTGATTGTTATCAAAACTTCAATTTAGTCTCTAATATTACATTTGATTATCAATTGAGTATCAAAACTTTTGAATATCAATTTTATTCCGATTATAATTAATATTAAACGATATCATCTCTCCATTTCACGAGTAAATTAAAATTTATTGGTGCCTTTAATAGAATTAAATAACAAGAACTTACAAACCATATAAACTGAATGGAATATTTTTATTGCCATTGTCTGATATTCGATTATAGTTGGAGGAAAATTAAAGGGTTTGTCTCTTCATGGAGAATGATGTAATATTTTTTGAGCTAAACTAAGGTTTCTCTTTTATTTTGATGTCTCTCTGTGGGTGTGTGAGATTATTATTATTATTATTATTTTTTTTTTTTTTGGGATTTTCTAACGTTAAAATGTAATGATTTGGTCCCGCGCAAGAGAAAGACTTTCACCTGCGTTGGATATTTATAATTATTCCTATCTTTTTTTTTTTAACCACATATTGGTTTTTCGAAAATGTTAATTACTCCGAATTCATGATTGGATCGAAATATTTCTTCCATTGCCAAAGGGCACTGCACGCACGATGTTAATTCCACGAGTTTGGTTTGTGGAGAATCTTTAGAATGAAAAATATAAGTGATGACATAACAACACGCATATAATGACGCAAGTTTGTTAAAAAAAGAGAGAGAGAGAGAGAGATAATTCCGTTCGAAAGAAATCAATGTGGACACTAAAATGGTTTTGAGCCCAGAAGTCAAAATATGTATAGGCGTTTCCTTTTTGTTAAGATCCAATCCAATCATTGGAAAAAAAAAAAAAAAACGGAAAAAGAAGAAGAAGGGAGTTACCATCACCACGCAGCTGCATTTTCAAGTGATTTTCTACAGATATTTTTACCAGCTTGACCGGAAAAAAAAAGTACTATTTCTATGTCCATACAAGTTGACCATTGAGCTGTAGGAAAGGGCTGCTGCCATTTCTTTTTATTTATTATTATTATTGCATAGATATATAATAATCCAACATCTAAAAGGGCCGACAAGGTCATGGAAGAGGACGGGTCAGGTATTGGTGGACCATACACGCTTTAGAGAGCCTATTTACATTGATTTTTTTTTACTTGAGCTTAGGTATCCTTTAAACTCCCTTTCAAAAACAAAATAGTAAATACCATAATGTAAGGGTAGGAGAAAAGAACCATTCTCCAAAAGCAGGGAGGCCATGGGCTTATCATTGAGGAGAACCAGTCTTCGAAAAACCAGTTCAATCATGTCACAAATTTATTTTATGGATATGAAATGAAGCAAGAGATAGCATATGAATCATTGCTTATGAAAATAATGGCACAAGGAAATAATAGGTTAAAAATAAGAGGGAAAAAAAATTAATTCCGTTGCCGGGAATCGAACCCGGGTCTCCTGGGTGAAAGCCAGATATCCTAACCGCTGGACGACAACGGATGTTATGCTATTTCCTTTACCATGTGTTTATATTTATAATCTAACTTCTAATGTCTAAATTGCACGAACTCACTCGCAAAAGTCTCGCCCAGAACAGAAGTCGACCGCTTAAGGCCCACCCAGAGTCAAAGTGGATCGACTTCACACGCCAATTTGACTAGAAATTTTCTTTTATTTAAGGAGGTCTGGGTGGTTTACTCTTCTTCTTGTTCTTGTTCTTGTCTTTCTTTTTACAGCAGGAATTCCATGTGATATTCTCAAAAAATAATATTAAATTTATCAATTAAATTATTATTTTTATCATTTTTTATATAATTTTCAATATATTATCCATCAGTTATCATTAACTATTATAATACATATCACTAAAGGTGTATTGATAATTTTTTTTTTAAATGATGAAAATAATAATTTGATTGATAAATTTAACATTACTCATTCTCAAATCAACTGCAACTTATATCAGAAGTCACCATTTCATTATCTTTGTCTCAGGAAAGGTAGATGTTAAGCAAAGATATTTTTGATGTTCACCATAAACAACATAATTGTGATTCTCAAATAATAATAATAATAATAAAATTGTGAACTACCAATTTGGGCCAAAGACCAAGTACAAAGTCACTATTTTATCTTGGCAGTTAGCATGTACTTTTCAGCTTTCACCTATAATTGGAGGGTACCATTCCGCAGACATTCATATCAAAGATAAACGTTGACGACTCATTCACCTTGTCAGCTTACAGCGTTTTTTCCTCCTACTGGGCTCTATGAATGCCCTCCCAAGCACAAACCCAGATGAGAAAAAAGAGGACATGATCTTGCATACAATATAGAAGTCTAATAGTCGACTTTTCAAGAATTTCTATGTATGTGTACTCGAATTAAAGAATAAAAAATTTGAAATCTAGGGACCCTGTTTTGTTTTCTTTTCTTTTTCAAAAGAGAGAAAAAAAAAGGGATTCAGTCCACAAAGTTGGTGAAAAGTGGAGACTGATCCATACATATAATACAAATTTGTTTAGAGAAAACTATAGACGAATCCATATCCTTCCATGGAATATTAAGGAGATCATGGTTATCAATCTCACAAAAAAAAAAAAGAAAAAAAAAGGAGAAGATCATCCCTATTTATTCAAGTTTGCATCGATCATTGAGATAAAAGAGGTTAAAGAAAAAACAATTTCTTTACAAAACCATGTGGGCTCATAATTATGTCAGATACATATCAACAGGGAAAGTGGAAAAAAAAAAATGCAACATGCAAATCTGAAGTTGAAAGTTTGAGCATTAGAAATTAGAAAATGACAAAATTGCCACTTTAAGCCTTAGCTGTAACATATGTACATGGTTGGAAATTTGAAACATGTTACAGAAACCATGTGACAAAGTTCATAAAGTTCCTTTAAACATAATTGCACTTTTTATGGCATACGTCCTGCTACCTTAACAGCATCAGATCAAATGAATATGGACATAGAGAGAGAGAGATAGAAATTAAAGGAGGAAGCCTTTACAATTGCAGATATAAATTAGAACCATTAAGATATAATACCATCTTTTATTCAAACTACTCAACTTCTTTATTTTGATGCCAAAATGAACCTCATATCGATTTTTCATGTACTTCCACCAGGGTAGGTGCAACCACTGTAACCTACAATTACAGAAAGATATGTTCAGAAGCATAACAATAATTCTAAGGCAAAGACATAGAGCACAAAAAGACCAAAATTTCAGGTCATGTGGGGACCTAAACACATAAAGTAGCCATAAAAATCGGAAGCTAATATTCTTCATCGCAAGCAAGTAGCAGCATAAGAACCAAATGCTCTTATTCTTTCCGATAAATCACCTTTTTGCTAAAGCATACCTCATTATAGAAGAGCTGGCACCTAATGGCTCCTAGATAATATTTATATGCTATGGAAATTGCTTTATGACACAATCCAATTTTACGTCAGAAGATGCTCAAACAGGAGTCATGGTGTAGTCATTTTCCAACGTTAAAAATTGCAGTTCCATGTATATATATATAGTGTGTGTGTGTGTAAGGAAATAGAGCTGGAGTAAAAATGAAATTTACTAGGATTTTTGGATGTGAGTTCAGCCGTTTCTGAGAAATCACAGTTCCATGGATTCTTTGCAGAAGCCTGGTAGTAGAGATTCATGGCATAAGCAGCATGTGATGCTAGCGTGTTTGGATCGAAACAGGCACCTCCTGGTTGAATGGGGCTGCAATCTATGCCTTGGCCACAGGCATAGTCGAGACTTGCCTGCAATTGAGCATCAGAAACACCAGCTTTCGGCACACACCAGCCTGCTTTTGTTGGGTTTGGAGATGGAGTCACTGGAGTTTTTGGTGTCGACGGAGTCACTGGAGTTTTTGGTGTCGACGGAGTCTGAGACCAAATGGTGGGTGTTGCAAACCACACATCAAGAATATCAAACTAAAGCATGTAAGATGCAGAAAAAACATGAGCTAAAGACTTGATGCATACAACTTCCCCCAATAAATTGTGAAAACCAGTCCATAAACTTTCGCACACATCCTGATCCTAAATATTCAATGACGAACAAATAGACTGGAACATCACAGCCAACAAATTTCAACTTCCTTTCAACATTTCCTCCAGGCCTTATTACAATTTCAAATGCTTTCTTCCCCTGTCTTTTAATCATATTTTTGATAACTATCTTTACTGGAAATTACCAACACACGTCATGCTTTAGGCCTAAGTTTGGTTAGATTTTGAGGGTCTTGGTATTTTTGTAAACTCATCTATTGTATGATGATTACAGGTTACTTTGTGCGTCGTGACCATAGTTTACTAACAAGATTGCAAAAAGAAACATTATTAAGGCATTGAAGGAAAAGAAGATATTGTCCTTACCAAGCTACTCTTTGAAAGACCAATATCATAAGCCATTGAAAGGTCGGGTTTGAAAAGCCCGAATGATCGTTCAGAAGCAGGACCAGGTTTCAAATCCTCATCATAAAGGGCGAAGATATATGTATCCACAGATTTTCCAGGCATTAGTGGGGTTCCAACCATTGATCTAAGGTGAGCAATCAAATTGCCATTATAAGCTCTTGCATTCTCAACGCTTGGCCCAACCTCATTGCTGTCACCATTGTAAGGCCACCCAGTCTCAGCA